GTTGAATGGCCACTGTAACCTGTCTTTCTAAATTGCACAAGAAAAAAAAAACAATTTTCTTTGTAAATACACGTCATTTCCTATTCAAAATATATTCTAGGAATAAATTAATTATTGTTGTAAAGTGTAATTTCATCTCACTCAGAAACCATCTGGAAATTTCAAGAGAAACAAACAAAATTTCCTAGAGTTGGTTGACTTGCTTTATTGAATGAAACCAGCTATTTTTACTCACAGTAAGATTAAGTAGTCAGTGTTCAATTTTCAATATAACACTTGTATTTTCACCTAATATTTTCATATTAAAACAAAGGTTCTTTTCTTGCACTATTTTTCTTTTTATAAAATGCTTCAGAAAACAATGTATATATTGCAAATTCTAAAAGCCTGAAGAAAACAAACCAACTTGATGCGGTTGTAGTAGGTGTCTCCTTATTTTTCAAAGCATATTTCATTCTCTCACAGCTAACAATGGAATATATTTTGAGAAAAGTGTTGTTAAGAATTTAATCTTTATGTGAACATTATAGAGCAAATGTTATAATTTGTCCCCTTAAATTCATACTGAAATTTAATCCTACTGTGAGGTATGAAGAGGGAAGGACCTTTGGAAGGAGATTAGGATTAGATAACATCATTAGGGTATAGCCCCCACTGATTAAATTTTGGTGGCTTTAAAAGAAGAGAGAGAGACCACAGGACATAGACACACATGGACCTGTACACCTTGTGTTGCCATGTGATATCCTGTATTTTCCCAGCAAACCAGCACCAAATAAGGCACCTTGAATTTGAACCTCCAGAACCATGAACCAAAACAAACCACTTTCTTTTATAAAGTAGCCTGCCTCAGGAATCTTATTATCATAACAAAAAATGAAAACTATTGTATGCTTTAGATGGTTATGATGTCACTAGTTTATATAACCTTAAGGAACCATGTGGTCCCTTCACTGACTATAATGTTACAATGTAATGCATGACTGTCTACACACACACACACAAAAAAAAAATCTATTGAATTTTAAGTGTTTTCACTTCACAGATGAATTTTTGCAATAGCAGAATTTCTAAAATAAATCTCGAGAACCGAGTGCTTCAAAATAAATGTGGTATATAAATAACTCCATGGTAACTTTTATTGTGGGGCAAGAAGGGAGTGTAGTGAAGGAGCAAAAGCAATGCAGGCAATGCAGGGGCTGGAAACCCTGAGTAAAGTGTTAACACAAAGCCAGAGCAGAAATGTGGAAAGAATGCCAGATCAGACAAGCCTCCAAATGGAGAATTAACTATGCCAAAAAAATGAAAACTCAATGTTTATATTTATTATTAAAGAAATTCAAAAGAACATAAGTGTTCAAAGAATAAAAAGTTTGCAAATTAAAAAGCCATTGCTTAAATTTTTGCAAACCCATTTGTAGGTTTGTAATGAGGCAGACCTGGGTCTTAGCTCAGAGGCCATCACTTTGTTGATAACATTGTCTTGGACTGTCACCATCAAAACCTCTTTTCTTTTGCACTTGTTACCACAGTCCCAACCGGAATTTCCTCAACTCCAGCTCAGTTTTAGGCAGAACTGCAGTGTTCCCTTTCACTTCCTCTCCCAGTCTGGACAGCCTCAAAACGTAACTGGCAGTTGGGGTCTAGGATATCTGTGAGCTCCTCCTGATGTGGAGGACCATACCAGTTACTTCCATTACTTCCTCATACCCATCGATAGAGGGGCTCAAATGGTCAAATGGCATGAAAACAGTGTCCCAAATTCATTCCAACCAATGCTTGTTTTCCCAGAGCTCCTAAATTCTTTGGATTAACTGGGCATGTTGAAAACAAATAATCATTCTGATTTCCATTTTAGTTGTTTTTATATATTTTAGATTTCCAGAGTGTCAACTGTGGACTAATACAACCAAAGAAGTGAAATAATGGCATTTGCTGTGGGCCAGAGTTTGTGATAAGCCATTCACTTGGGCTGGTTAAATTTTTATGAGAAAATTATATAAATATTTTAACATAATTAGCCTTAAACTGGGAATGTTATTTTAAGTATATAGTCAAATTATTATCCTTTAGCCAAAGTGCAAAGGTTTAAATCTCTATTCTCATAGACATTTTAATGTAATTAAAATGTAATCCGTGGGGATGAGGTTATAGCTCAGCAGTAGAGTGCTCACCTTGATCCTTGATCCTCAGTATTATATAAAAATAATTTAATTAATTAAAGATATTGTATCCAACTACAACTAAAAAATAAATATTTAAAAAACATAATTGGTAGGGGCTGGGGATGTGGCTCAAGCGGTAGCGTGCTCGCCTGGCATGCGTGTGGCCCGGGTTCGATCCTCAGCACCACATACAAACAAAGACGTTGTGTCCATTGAAAACTAAAAAAAATAAAAATATAAAAAAAAATTTAAAAAATTGGTAAATATTTGCCTATTTTGGGGGGTTCACTTTTTGTTTGAGACCATCATAAAAACATTAATCAGGCCCTAATATTACTTATATATGCAGCAGGGATAAAGTAATAAACATACCACTACAGAATGTATACATCTGCACATTTTTAATATTTAAGGGGTAAATAATATAATTTCATAATTCAAATTTCATTCAACTTCTTTTAAAAATATTTTCTTAGTTTAATTCAAACATTTAATTTTGTTAACAAATAATCAGGTAAAATTTAAAAATCAGTAAGAGAAAGTAGATATGCATTACTATAATTAGATGCAACAATTTTGTTTCTCTTCAGAACAGAGAGCAGTGTGCAGTATATGTAGTTCATTCTTAATAAACCTGTAAAATTCCAACACCAAAGTGATGAATTCTTTTAGCATATAAGATGATCACTTATTGAAGCTACAGTGATTCCTTGATGCCTATACTCGCCTGTGCATTAAATAAAGCCCATCATTTCTGTGTTGAATTCTTCCCCAACATTCACGGGCCTTTGGGGACAAAAGTATGTACATCATTCTCAAAGGTGGATCTTCATATATTATTATACAGATGCTCCTTGACTTAGGATGAGGTTATGCCCCAATAAACTCACTGCAAGTTAAAAATACCACAAATTGAAAATGCACTGACTACACCAAATCTACCCAACATCCTAGCTTAGTAACACAGTATAGATTACCAGTTGTTTCCTATTATGATCGTGTGGTTGATTGTGAGTTGTGGGTTACGGCTGCTAATTAGCATTTCAAGAAAGTATCATACTGCATATTGATAGGCCAGGAAAAGATCAAAATTAAAAATTTAAAGAATAGTTTCTATTGAATGTGTATTGTTTTCATACCATCATGAAGTTTAAAAAATCCTTGGTTGAACGATAGTAAGTCAGAGACCATCCGTACCTTAAAATTCTCATCAGTATTTTAGGGAACACCAATATGGATATAGTTCTGTTGTGGGCAGACTTTTAAGGTGCCTCCTAATCCCTTGGTTCATGAGCCTTATATATCCTTTTCACCTTGAGTGTGAGCAGGATCTTTGACTTGCTTCTAAGGAAGAAGTTATGGCACAGGTACAGGATGTCATGCTCTTGGTTATGGTGCATTACATAAGTCTCCCTTTCACTAGCAGGACTGCTCTAGAGTATGTCTCCTATACCACTTTGAAGAAGCAAGAAAACATGAATTTTACAACAATAAAGAACTGGATGCTTCCAATCATGACAGCGGAGGGGCAGATCCTTCCCTAGCTGAGTCTCCATATGAGAATGCAGCCCTGGCTGACGCTTGACTGCAGCTTTAAAGAAGACCCAGTGAACTCATGCCTTGCCCCTGACACATAGAAACTGAGCCAGTGAACACATGTTGTACTAAATTGGTTACAACTCAAATAAAACTAATATGAAACCATAAGAAAACACAGGTTTTTGCAAAAAAGATAATATACAGGGCATCTTTTCCATTTAAAAAAAAGAACACAGTAAATTAGTAGTACCATGGCTAAATTTATATAGCCAATTGTCCTGTTTTGGATAAGCCATCTTATTAACACCTGTCAGGCACATGGCAGTTGATAAATGGAGAATGTAGCACCTTCTTATTATAAATGGCTATTGAACACACATGGTGGCTCTCCAGGTGGTTATTAACGACAAAAGTATTGACTAGAACAATTTTCATAGACATGTGAATGCCTTGCTTTTCTAGTATGCAAATATATCCTAATATAAAATAAACTTTAATTTTGGGTGCTCTAATGGAAACTAGAATCTTGACTAGAATGACAGATATAGTTCAGGAAATCTTCCGTTAACATAAATAGGCATCATTCTGAGGATATTTCAAACAGTAACAAGATGAGACAAGTAACTCGAGGAAGGGAGAGTTTTGCCTAAATCAGTTCAAAATCTAGAAAGGGGGCTGTAGAGCTTCAGTTTGAAATATGACTTTTGCCTTAATGAACAAAAAGAATGTTGGATGGTACCAAAGAATTGTGATAACTTTTAGGAAAAGAGGATCACAGGACTGTCAAGAAAAATTGACCTGATCACCCCATACTTGAGGGAATCAAATTTAGGATTATGTTTTGGTCAGATTCACTTGTAGTGTTAAAATAGTGTCTATATCTCAGCTAAGTTTAGTTAGAAAATACACATTTTTGTGAGATCATCAGGTAATCATTTCATTCTACAAAGACTATAATTACAAATTGCAAAGAAACAAATTATTGTATATCAAAATCCTCTACATATTTTGCTACCTATTAGTTTTCTTTCCCATAACTGAATTCAATAATAAAATTTCAGAACTGATACCAAACATTATTTTATCATTAAAATGTAAAAATCATTAGACCAAAAAGGTTATTTGTTTTTCTTTTTTTCCTCTAGGTATCTAATGCATTTTTAGCTACCTAGCTCTCATTCACAGGAAGATGGAAACCCTGCTCAGACCATCTGAGAAGCATTTCCTTTTTTACAAATGTCAGCTGGTGATCAATAAAAGGACAGGACAGATTTCTGCATAACACAAACACCAGAGTCCAACTTTGACTTTTATAAATTTCCATGTCACATTTTTAAGAGAGTAGGACTATAGTTCAAATTGTTGTTTGCATTTAAAACCTAAAATCATTAGGCAAATAACATTTTAGTTTTAGAAGAACAGGTCAGAACAGTCAGAAAGGGCCACACAGTGATTAATGACTGCACTTAAGTCACTGCTACACAAACAGATCACGGAGGGGCCCTGAGCAGAGATTCCTGGCACCTTGGCTGAAGCTGGGGTGGGCGAGTTGGTAGTGGTGCATGCCCACTGCCCAGACCTTGAGGGCCAGGGCTGGGTTTTCACCTATGAGAGCTTTAGGCTTAGAAAGTAAGTCATATTGTTACAGTATAAGTAAACCACAGCTACTGATCAGAAGAAGTACTCCTTCTGACTTTCACTGACAGTATTTTGCATGTTGAGTTCACTTTTCAGAGCAATCTCAGCATTGTCTCCAGCTTTTGAGATATCTGACTCATTCTTTTGATATAACCATCTCTGTTGATAAATGCGTATAGCTATGGCAGTGACGCAGAGCAAGATAAATATCACCACTGCTACCACACCTGGTGAGAGAAAAGAAAGAGAACATACAAAGTTAGAAGACAAACTATAAATTTCAACCTCGCCAGAATCTCTACTAGATGGTTTAAATCATATGTAATATCATATATATTAGTACCTATAATATATAATCTACATATGCATGTATGTATATGTGTATATACATACACATAATAAATTTTGAGGACAAATGGTATGATGACATTAAGTTTACATGGCAGATCTTAACATGCAGATCACGATTGGATTTCAGTTAATGACTTCACATAATAAGTGCAGAAATACAACAGGACCTCTTAGGCCATGTCCCACTTCACATTAATACGCCAGGAAATTTTAATTATTTTAAAATAGAGTGCATAGCCTCATCATCACAGAGTAATTGTTTTTGTACAAATATTTTAATAAAAATTTACTTTGATACTGATATGCTGTTGAATTAGTTATATAATATGCATGTCATTCATCTCTATGAGGCTCTTAGCTCCTGACATCAGTTATGCCAGTGGTCCTCAAGTCTGTTTAGACAACATAGAACAAATAAGATCTATGGATATTCAGATTTTTACAAAAAGCTTGTCAGATGATTTTAATGTGCTGAAAGTATCGAGAACCATAAAGTTATACCATAGGAATGTTTACTGAAGCTATCCTATTAGTAAAGAATGAATATCAAGTCTATACTGAAATAAATATGTAAAAGGTCAGTTTTAAAGATGATTGACACAGGTATTAATTAATACTGCCAATAAGCAAGTGTTATATAACAAGTGCTATGTAAGTGCCTGCCTAGTTATACAAAAATATTTGTACTGTAAAATGAGGGTTCTTTTTCATACTCTGGGATAGACATCAGCAACTAAAATGAAGCCCAACAACTCAAAGCTTAATTAGGTATAACTAGTCAAAGGGATTCCTAAGCACAAGTCTGAGAGGAAGTAGTGTGCTCATTATTTGGTTTATATTCATAAATATTCATAACAACATTTTGTTCAATATACTTTGCATCCCTTTAGGAAATAAACAATCACACTGCTTTAGGTTCTTTTTTTTCTCTTAGTTATAGGACTTTGTTTTAAGGAGAAATATCATATACAATTGCAATGTTAAAGACTGGTAAATCTCAGCACAATGATGGGGCTACTTGATTATAATTCCATGACATTACAGGAACTCCTCAGTATACCTTGGCCTTTTTATATGTGATAACTCTTTAACTATGGCTTGGTTTATTACATTTAATGGGATCCTAAAATAACTTGTCTACACCAAAGATTAAAATTATTTGAATAATCACTCAATGCATTTCATAAACTGCGTATTGCTGATAGTGTTTTTTTTTTCTTTTTGGCACAAGGGATTGAACTCAGGGGTACTCAAGCATTGAGCCACATATCCCCAGTCCTATTTTGTATTTTATTTAGAGACAAGGTTTCAACTGACTTGCTTAGCCTTCACTGTTACGGAGGTGGCTTTGAACTGCCTAAACCTCCAGAGCCACTGGGATTACAGGTATGCACCACTGTGCCTGGCTTGTTAGTGTATTTTTTATGAGCTTCTCTCTGCCTGCCTCTCTATCTATACATCTGTCTCTTTATGGATCTAACTGCCTATCTACAGTAAATGTCCCTTGGTAAGAAGCCCTCTGTGATCTCTGGTTTACCAGGTACAAATACTTTTTTTGCTTCATTCTTTCCTATACTGTTCCTTTTGTTTGCAAGAGGAGGAAAAGATAATTCAAAATGCAGAACACAGAGAAATCTATCCATGTCAATAATCCTTTATATGGATTAGGTATTTTTCATATAAGTCTAGTCTGTGTGTTCAGGTTAGTTCACTGGTGGTCAATGCACCCAGTGGTCTTCTAACCATCCAGCCATCAGCTACTGCCCAAACAAAAGGCAGTACAAGTACAAGTGAATCACAAAGCCTGATACACTCACCTTGTCAGGTCCCTGAGACCTGTGTTTTCTCCTTCTCCACCCATCTATGAGGAGCCAAGTAGGATTGCTCAAGGGAAGCACACTGGTATAACTTATTTACTTTGAAATTTTGCCAATGATATTTAGGCAAAAGCTCTAAAGATCCAAAGGCCTGGTATTTTCTGCTATCATCAGAATGAAAATTCACTTTGCTCTTTTAAATAAAAGGCACCAAGTTTGCAAGTATTTTGACTTGGATTCCTACTTTGAAAATATAGAACACATTTATTTTAAACTAGTTTGCATTAGAATGGATACTTTTCATTAAAATAAATTAGAAATGATTTGGGAGTAGTATTTAAATTCTAATATAAAGCATTTCTTTTAGATATAAATGATTAAAAAAAGACATGGGATTTTTTTTTTTGTTCTTGGAATTGAAAATGGAGGTTATATTAAATAAGTTCCTCATACTTCAATCATTACAAAAATAAAAGTAGTTGAGATAGGGGTGGAAATGTTAATATCTTTACAGAGATTTTTAAAGTGTCTGAGTACTCTTCTAATTCTCTGACATCTAGATGAATACAGATAAACTACACAGACCCCATGTAAGCTGATGTGCAGCCCATATGAGCAATGGAGACCAAGTGGTGTCACCCAGCTCTCTGAGTTATGAACATTATTTGACTAAGCAAAGGAATAGATTATAGTTTACTTCCTACTCACTAAGCAGAGTGTGCAATAGACTCACATTTCAATAGAATCCAAACAATTAAAATGGGATAGCTTGGTGGAATAGTACCTGCCTTCCATGTGCCAAGACCTGCCCATTCCCAACACTCCCCTTCCAACACACACACAAGAATTAAAAAAAATTCTTTGAACTGTAAGAAGGGAGAATTGCACATTCATTTTTTGAGTTAGAACTTAATAAATTCTGTGTTAGTCACTATGTTGTTTATACTGTCACTTCTTCAATTCTAAATAACCTTGGAACTCTTATTCCATTAGCCCCAAAACATTTAAAAATAAAATTAAAAGCAAAAATCACACTGCTTGAAGCACCTAAACAATACAAATTGTTATTTTTCAAACATAAAAATATAAAACTATACTTCTTATTCCTTTCTTTGGTGTTATATAACAATTTGAAGGCTCAGTGGCAATTGCAAGGAGCCATAGAACCACTATTTTTAATATATATTATCTCCTGTATCAAATAACAGTGATAGTTATTTTCAAATAAAAACTTCTCACAATTCTATAATGTTTTAGCTATTCTTCAGAAAGTGTGCTTCAGTGGAACCATCAGTTCTTTTTACTGAGGAACTGAATTCAGTAAGTTACATGAAATATCAGGAAAATTTACAAGGCCTGCCATTGACCCCAGCAGTCTGAGCTGATTGCTATAGATGGTTTCTGGTTCATGCTAACAGCCGCATTACCTCCAATGACCGCAGAGTCACTTCTGTCTGCATTAATTAAGGGCTCTCCCTCATCAGTTGGTCCAGAATAGCCTACAGTAGAAAAAGGGAGGACAGAGCGAAGAGAAGAGAGTAATTCACAAACACCGGAACAACAAACAATTGTGGGAGAAATGAACATGAAAGGAAGAACACAGGAGAGGGAAAGGCCAGATACCAAGTAGGTGAATCAACAAACAGGACTAAGTAAATCTGCGATATAGCAGTAGTGACACACAGAAAACAAGCACAAGGAGGTACCCACCTGAACCACCTGAGAGCCGGGGAGCGAGTTCCCGTGCTCTGAAGCCAGGCCCTGCGCCCACCGCGCAGCGGGATCCAGCGGCCACTTGACCATGAACAGTGACCCAGGCAGGTCCGCCAAGGCGCAGCGCCGCCTTCAGCGGGGCTGCATGGCTAAAGCGCACCGCAGACAGGCAGCCTGTGAAGCCGCGCGCTGCCGCCCGCCGCGTATCGGGGTCTGCGCCAGGGGGCTCTTTAGACAAAAGAAGTGCATACATCGTTAGGGCGCCCCGCACCTGCGAATCTCCCTTCCAACCCCTATCTTTTCGTCTTTAAGGAAATACACTGCGGCCATTACCAATGGCCTGAGTTGTTGACAAGCGGGGTGGTAACTTTGGTCCATTTTGCTAAAAACTTCCCTAAAGGTAGCCACGGAGTAGATAAGGGCGAATTCCTCGGGCACTTCACTTTTTCAAATGATCATTACAATGCTTTTGGATGGAATTTGTACCTATTAGTACAATTGGGTAAAGCGAAATATCTCTTGGATTTTAGGACACTCTGGAAATTTCTCTAAAAAATTTCCTAGTCTGTATTCAACACCAGAGGCTGCTCCCCTTCACAATGTGGTCTCCATTCTGTCCCTGCCAGGACCCACCTGCCTTTAACCACAAGCAAGGAAGGTTGGTTTTAGCAAGATCTAAGTAAGAGCAATTGCGACGGAAGATGAAAACTTGAGGTTGCTAATTTCAGTGAATATACTCTGCCTTTCCACTTGCTCAATGGGCATGGAATCTGACAAGGGGAGTAAGAGGTGAAGTTTAAAAATTTAAATGTCAAACAGAGAAGCATCCTCTACCCTGCAGAGGAAACCATGTCAATATGCTGTGAGTGCTTGATATCTGATGTCAAATTCCCTTTGCAAACTGGCTGTGGGGAAACTGCAGTTGATTCTCCTTATTCTAACAACCAATGAATGAATACATAGTTGTCAAGAATTTGCCAAATGATTTACTATAGGTTATCATTTTAATCTTTGCAGCATAAAACAATGAATACTTTTATTCCTATTTTATAACTGAAGAGATGAAGGTTCAGAAGTTTGTAGCATAAGTTAGTAGGACATTAAGGTTACTGGAGGGGGGGATCTGAATTTAGGCCTCTTGTGTTCAACCCCTTTCTCAACAAGATATTCTTTTTTTCCCCCATTAGTATATTCTGTATATGTTCATAATTGCTCACATGGAGGGACTGGTAAATGGGGATCATTATACTATTTTTACTTTTATAAGTTCATATATTTTTCCATAGCACATATGTACATATTCAATAAATGCTTTTTGGTTGACTTAAGAACCAATCTTTAAGTTACCTCTGAGAATCTCAGTTCAGATCCATTCTGTCTTGATGTTGTAGTTAAACTCTCAAAGGACAATCCTTATTTCTTTTGAATTTGAGGATGCTTGAAATATGTTTTTATATTAGAGGAATATACAGTCCCATCACCATAAATTCATCTTTCTATGGATGCTTAGTAGCTACTGAAATAATTTTTATAATGTGGCACTCATGAGGATAGAAGAGCCATCTGTTCTAAAAGATTACATGCATTGGATCAAGATAAAAATGCACTTCCATAGCTGATTGCCATCTCATGCCACTGAGTTTTCTTGAGTGTTAAGGTTTTTTTTTTTGAGTGTTGGGGTACCTAAAGTCACCTCTGTTGTTGTGCTAATATGAAAGAAATGTGAAAATTATCCAACAGAATGGAGTTGCTTGTTCCAATCCTGGCAAAGAAAGAAAGGGAAGGAGGGAGGGAGGGAGAGAGGAAAGATTACAAAACAAGTGTTCTTAGTCATAAAGACTGTCTTGTAGGACTATCATTAAAGTCTCTGTCAGGCCACAAGCTTGCACAGGAGTATACAAAAAAACAAAGCAAACAAAAGAACTTCTGCAAGGATACCTACCCATCAAGTATCTGTTCAACCTCAGACTGATGCCACTGTTGTTATTAATCACTGTACCCAAAGATTATTGTTTCAAAATATCTGATGAAATCTTCAGTTTTGTCTGTAATGTATTTTCTTTCCCCAAGTTTCCTTGACTATACTCCTACGTTACTTTGATGGTGTATTCCCTTTGCAGTGCTTTGTTACTCTGATTGCAATGCTATTCCTAAAGAAATACCACTATTCTCTGAAGAATCTGTTTGTTGTTGTTAGATTGAAAGTAAGGTTAAGCTATGTACTCTGAATCTTCTACTCATAAGGTGGGGCTTCTTAAATCTAATTTTAGGTATTCCTTTTCATTCCTACTAATCTTCACTTCATTATTTTAGTCTGTCATTCTTGAAAATCCAATCTTTTGTATTCTTATTCCTTCTGACTTGAAAGAGAGTTGTCTCTTGAAAAAAGTGTGTTGTGAACTGTTTGACTTACAAACTTAGGGAATGTTAAGTTGCAACAGTAAATGTTTGTGTGTAAAAAAAACATCTAAAGCAATTAAAATTAGGGGCATGATGTTTATGATATTATAATAAACAAATTTTTCTTAAATATCTTGGTCAGGCTGATTATATGAGACATCAAAAAACTTTTGTGTGATAAATTCCTGGTAAATTTTAAGCATACTAGGAGAAAGTAAGCTTGGAACAAATCAACTCAAAGAATATTATAAATTTAGAGATGTCTTCCAAGATGACTTTATTTATCATTTTATAATTTGATAATGTATAATTTACAGAAAGAAATATTTGCTTGATATACTTGAAAGTGTGTCAAGAAGAAATAAAATGGGAAGATATTGCAACAGCAACATGGAACTTCTTTGGGAAAGCTAAATTATGGAAAAAACATTAAAATTCAATTTAAAATCCTAGCTATTAAGCAAAAAAAAAAAGAAAAAAGAAAGAAAGAAAGGAACATGGCAAATATTACGCTAATTAATGAATTATACTAATTCTGTGAAATTTATTTTCTAAAGACAACTGAGCTTCATCTTTGCTGATAGTGCTATTACTGAAGAAAGACACATAGGTACTACATTATAATTGCCTCTATTTCAAGAATCTCCACTTAATATTTGTACATATGTATGTATATTTGTGGGCATGAATGTGTGGGCTAGATTTATATGTACCCCAATAGCCCAACTCTGAACATTATGTGTACATTAGGTATAAATTCACCTGGACAGGTTTGCTGCCTGCACTGGCTCCCTCATATTTTCCTATGGTAGGTTCATGATTTTGTCCAGTTTTAGACTGAATTAATTTCCCAGTATTTTGCTGAGATGGGATGCATGGTTAATATTTAATCTCAGTCCATCCTTGTTACCCTCAAAAAACATTTTTTAACCTTATCAGATAAATTATGTAGTAGATGACATTTTTACTTCATCTTTATTTTATTTTTTTATTTCACTACTACAATTAGATGTTGGCTTCTAATGACAAAATCATCATATTTCATTGTAGAAACTTCTGCCTAGAAAATTTGGAAGGTTTTTCTTTTTTGTTTTGCACTTCAGGAATTTTATCAGAATTTTTCCAAATTTATCTTTTTTCATTAGAACTGCTTTTTATTCTGTTTTTTTTTTTTTAGCTTGGAGAAATTGCCTAGTTTAAAATATATTAATGCCTTTGTTTTAAATTCTCTTTCTAGATCTCCAATTATACAAGTGAGGTTTTTCTAGATTAGATTTCCATGTACTTCCTATTTTCCCTCTCTGTTAATCTTCTTGCTCTGTGATCTGAGACATTATATCTAGGCCACTATTTAAGGATAATCAGTGATCATTATCTTCTTCAGATCACCCAGTGAAATTTTGTAAAATTTATTTAAATTTCCCATGTGTTTTTCTCTTTGCCTAAAATCTCCTTGAATTCCAATTTGCATCTTTGCTGTTTACTGTCTTCTTCAACAGTGTATTCTGGCATAGAAAATGTTATTTGCTGTTTATTCTTCCTCCTTCTCACCCCCAACTTTGCTGTTCAATTCCATTAGGTATGCCATTACTTACTTTCTTATTTATTTGTCTGCTTACTTCCATGGTTGTGAATCTGATATGATATACAAGTCCTGACAATATGGAAGGTACAGTTTCTCTGATCCTGTCAAAAGAAGGGACCTGCCTACAGACTGTCTCTTATCCTTAGTTCCAGAGGCATGATGGAAATGGACACAATCAGGCTGAGCACTGTTGATGCTCCTTTGACATTTCCGAGTTTTCTGCAAGTTAAACTTTATATAGGACCCATAGTGTTTGTATTTCCTTGGTGCTGTGTTGTGTTCTCCACCAGCCCACTGCAAAGTGTTCACTACAGCTGTCATTTACATCTTCTCCTGATCCTGCTGCTGGGCTAGCACATCAGCTCTTTACCCAGGAGCACAAGTATAATAATCTAAACTGCCATCATCCCAAAGTAGGTCAGCATCAGAGTGAATAGAACTGTATTTAGATAAAGAGTGTAAAATGTGTTTCCCCTATTAGCTAAGTCCTGAAATTTTATCATTAAGGTTCTTTTGACTAAAAAAAATTTCTTCTCATTAAAACATAAAGAAAGGAAAAGAAAAAGTTAGGAAGGAACTTTGGAGAATACCTAGTGTGTTATTTAGTCATTGACACAGCCTGGTGAAACATGCACTCAGTTGCTATCTTGAGAACATGGGTAGAACCATAGGAAATTGGGAGACAGATGCAGTTTCAGACTAGGTAAGAAGGGAACCAGGAATATGGTTCAAGTGGGCCATGAAAAAAGCAAAGTTTAGGAAAGGGTGGACTAAAGGGCTGAGCATAAAGTTCACTTCCACTTCAATTCTGAGAAGAATCTCTCAATCACTTTGAATACAGACTCATTTAATCTTCCTTTCTCTTAAAAATTTTCTCTGGTAGGAAGTGTTGAGAGTCCAGGCAAACTTCCAAGAATTCAGGACACAAATATTCTCCACTGTCTCAGGTGTTGAGTAGTTTTGTCTTCAAAATCTATCATGTAAGTTATATATTGCAATATGTAAGATGATTTCTGCTCTTGAAAAGGAAGAGACAAATAATTAAAAATGTGTACAAAAGGCTCTTTGCTACCCACAATGAATAATGAGTGCTTCTGAAAGGTTTGCTGTAGACAAGAGGTTTAACTGTAAAGTCAGTACAGGATATTAGCAGCCAATGACTAGAAGCAATGCAAGTGTGCATCATCATGAGAATGGATAAATAAATTGTGGTATATTCTTATAATAAAAGTCCACATAGCAA